AACACAGTTCTTAAAATAAGTATCATGGAAATTTGAAATTATATTTTTCACTATCTAAATGCGAAAAGTGTTATGCAAGGAGAAAGCATCGTAATACATTTCCATTCGTCTGAGTAGAGGGATAAAGAGAAAGGAAGAGGCTTAAGGCATGGAACTCTTCACAGATGACGTTTGTAAGCATGACGATCGCTAAATATGAAGTAAAATGATAGAAAAAAAAGCAGCAACTGGCGAATGAAATTGGTTACAGGTGGTGCATAGCAGGACTCTTTATCTATGGCGAAACTAGGCATGCTTTCACCATTATGTATGTTGGATCCTGTCTTAATTTTTAAACTGATTAAAATTTTTTAAGTTTGGAAACTGTATGGAACTCAAAACTACATTAAACATAGGGTTTAAAGCAAGCATCGCAGAAATTTTAAAAAAAAAATTGGCAATATAAATGCAAAACTATTAAGTAAGGGGCAAACATCGTGATACATTCCCATACATCTGAGCAGAGGAAAAGATGTAAAGAGAAAGGATCTAGATATGGAACTGATCTTCTCCCCAGGTGGCCTATTCGAGTGTTGCTATCGCGAGGAAATAATTATCCAAATCCCTTTTAAAAGGAAACAATGGATATAATAATTGTGTTCTTCAACTTTTCGATTCGTTTTAAGAAGCTAAAAAAGATATGGCCAAATATGCAAAAATTGAATTTAATTTCATCGCAATGCGCCTATGCGATTGCACGCAAATGCGATTAGCACATGTAGTTTCGAAGCTTTCAAATGAGCCTCGAAACAAACAAACTCGAGTCTATGTCAATCAGATGCAATGTGAATGGTCCCTTAGAAGCACAAACTCTCGTAACTGTTGGCACCATATTTTTCTGATTTTTATTATTACATATTTTGATGCTGAGAAATCCTACTTCGTCAAAAAATGTATCTTTATCCAGAGATAAATTAGTTTTAATGACTGATTTTATTTTATTTTATTCTATTGGTAATCGAAATGGGTTTCAGGTGGCATAGAGCAGAACTCTTCAAATATGATTTTCCCCATTAGCGTATGGAGAGTCATAGGAGAAGGAAGTACACTAGTTTCTGTCTTGATTTTCAAATAGATTAAAAGCTTTTTAATTTAAGAAATCGTATGAAACTGAAAACTGCTTAGAAAATAGTTCTAAAAGAAAGTGTCATGAAAATTTAAAAAAAATATTTTTGACAATTAATTTCGAAAAGTATTAAGAAAGGAGAAAATATCGTAGGACATTCCTACACAACTGAAAAGAGGAGGAGAGAGAAGGAGGGAGGGGCAGGACATGGATCCGGTCCCTAGATGGCGTATTCGAGCTTTGCGATTGCAAATAAAATAATAATGATTTTTCAACAGTTGATTTTGCTTGTAATTAACTTTCCAGAAACAAGTTTTGCAATTATACAGGGTGTTTATAAAGTCCCGGACCCATTTTAATGTTTAATAACTAATAGAATAATAAAGATAGATTAAAAACAATATTATAAATGGTTAGATAGACTAAAAAACTTTCATGACCCTTGTCAATGAACTTCCACGTGTGCCCCCTTCGTCGCACGGAGAATATCAAATCGATAGTCACTTTCACGCCAAGTAGCGGCAAGCATGTCGGCATCCACAAAAGCTGTTGAGGTTGTAATTCTGACTTTTAGGTCATCAATGTTCGACACGATCCTTCTGTAAACATTGTCCTTTATAAATCCCCAAAGAAAAAAGTCCAGCGGTGTTATATCAGGCGATCTGGGTGGCCAAGGAATTGGACCTCCACGCCCAATCCATCTTCCTAGAAAATGGTCATTCAAAGAACTACGAACGATGATACCCCAATGAGGTGGTGCACCATCTTGTTGCAAAAAGACTTGTGGCTGAAGCTCTTCTAGTTGTGGAAATACTAAGTTTTTCAGCATGTCTAAGTATACGACTGATGAAACCGTCTTTTCTGTAAAAAAGAAAGGCCCAATGACTCGGTCTTGCATTAGTCCACACTACATATTAACCTTTTGGGAATCCCTTTGTGTCTCACGGTATTCATGGGGGTTTTCAGATCCCCATATGCGCACATTATGGCGATTAGCAATGCCAGAAACATGAAAGGATGCTTCGTCGGAGAACATTATGCGCTTCAGAAAATCAGCAGCATCTTCTATCCTTCCTACCATATCTGTTGCAAACGTCATCCTCCTAGGCCTATTGTCCGGTTCTAAACTTTGAACAATTTGAACTCTGTATGCATACAGTCTTAATTGTTTCTTAATATCCTTGTACACTGTCGAAATTGGCATATCCAATTCTCTTGCCGCTGATCTCACAGATCTTCTAGGATTGTCTAAAAATGTTTGTCTGACAAGCTCAACGTCAAAATCACTCGTGCAGGGATGTCCGGAACGTTTACGGATGTCCGGATACTTCCAGTTTCTAGAAAATTCTTTTTCCACCGCAGGATGCTGCGGAGGATCTTTTTGGTAAATTCTTCTGCAATTTCTCTGTTCTTGCACAATCGATTTCGTTTCTATGAACCACCATAAAATCTGTGCCTTCTCATGTGGTGTATGCATTTTCCTTAATATCCGCTCGAATTAAACATCACATAGAAAAGTACTACATAGAACAAACACATCAAAAGTAAACATAACATTACAATAGTTGCAAAAAACAAAAGAGAAAAAAATGCAATTAATAAATAGACGATATTTAGAAAAGTACAGATATTTAGATTGGAAAATGAAATTATCTGAAATTAACCACACTCACAGACGATATTTACAAAAGTAAAGATATTCAAACCTGAAAAGGAAAATATATGAGTTATTCCATCAATAAATGCCATAAGTTTGCTTATATCTTCATTATTTTATGAGTTATTAAACATCAAAATGGGTCCGGGAATTTATAAACACCCTGCAT